AACTGCACAGGGAGACCCTGTCTCAAAAAGACAAGACAAACATAAATAAATAAATAAATGAAATAAAAATGGACCAAAGACTTAGATACAAAATCAGACACATTGAAACTGTCAGAAGATGACACAGAGCAAACACTTGAAGCCACAGGCATAGGCAGGGATTTCTGGATTTGGAGTCTAATAGCACTGGGAAAAAAAATATCAAGAATCCACAGATAGAACTAGAACAAATTAAAAAGCTTCTGCATAGCAAAGGGAACAATTGACAGACTGAAGAGAAAACCTAAGAAATGTGGAAAAATTTGCTAGCTACTGTTTTTATAGACAGCTACTATTTAGAATATATAAAGAAAAAAAAGGCCATCCCCTCCAAAACAAGTGACCCAATCAAACAATGAGTGAATGAATTTAATAGGTACTTTTCAAGAAGAAGTACAAATGGCCAATAAATACATGAATAAAAGAGATGTTCTTATGAATGCTATTGCCCTTTTTTTCTTCTTCTCGAAAAGAACAACAATAATGGGAAAAGTTTTGTGTAACCTGAAACTTCTTTTTATACTTCTGTTCAATATGTATCCAGTTGGGAGATATTGTCAAGAGGGAACCGAAGCTCCCTGGCTGCATGACTACGGCTGCAACCCACCGCGAGGTGCCCTGCTGTTTGCACTGTGTGCTTATCAGTCGGCAAAACAAACATCTCACTCTCCCTTCCTTCATTCTGTAATGTCCCTGTTCTCTTTGTTCAAAAGTCTCCGCAAACAACAGGCCCCAAAGCAGTGCCCTTTGCCTAGTGGCCCCAAGAGTGAGTTTTTATTTCCTCCTCCTGGTTTTTATCCTTTTCTAAAGTAAATAGATGCATTTTTAATTTTTAAAAAGGAAACTTAAAAAAAAGAGGCCTGGTTGTGTTGAAGAACAGGCATTTCCATTTGCAGGAACTAAAATATACACTGATTTATAAATTGATTTCTGTATAAGGTATGTTGACCATAGCACTAATACTGGGAAATAACAATGAATGTTGCCAGTGTCATTAATTTAAAAAGCTTTCTATAATCTACATATTTTCCCTTATTTTTTATTAGCTTATTGTTTTTATTAAAATCTTGGTCGAGGTTCTTTTTTTCCTGTTCTTGGTCCCCTTTTATCTAGAAATAAAGACACAAAAAAGTTTGGTTTGTGGAACCGGGAATTGAACTCAGGGTCTTGCAGTTGCCAGGCAGGTGCTGTGCCACTGAGCTATATCCCCAGCTCTTTGCAAGTTTTTAAAATATACCCATTTGGCTGTGTGTGGTAGTGCACACCCCCAAGTGTAATCCCAGCACTTGGGAAATAGAGGTAGGAGGATCCCTGCGAGTTCAAAGCCACCCTGGGCTACATAGTGAGTTCAAGGCCAATCTGCACTACATAGTGAGACTCTGTCTCAAAAAAAAATTGCCAAATATCATTCAGTAATTACTAAAAACAGATGGTGGAGCAATTGTTTGTGATACTCTTCATGCAGCAGGAGTAAGGGGAAGACCTGCAGATAGAAACATCTGGAAAGAGCTACTCTTTCCCTGCACTATTTGGGACAGTTTTACAGGGATGTATCGAGTCACTCGAGCAGCATTTCAAAATGCATAGTTTACTTGACAGCATTTACAAATTATAACTTTTCTTCAGAATAACTTACACTGTGGAAATGTTTCCATATGCTAAAGTTGGACATATCATTGTAATGAAGAAGAAAAGTGATGTCGTTTAGTAGTTAGATTTTATATATGTATTAAACTACAATATGCACAAATTAATAATACTGTCTCTTAAGAATTTCCCATGGATGGTTTTCTAATTCCTTCTGCGGCTCTCTGCTAAAGATGGGAAGTAGATTTTACCACAAACCAATGGCTCAGCATGCATTCAATTATGATATATCTAAGTAATGAAAACTTGATAGTAACATAAATCTTATGTTAATGAAAAAATACTTATTTTGCCCCAACTCCTTTGTGTTGCTTCAAGTCCCAGGAGGAGGAAGTTTCCAACATCAAATCCCCAAAATACATAAATTTGCAGTTAGCTCTTTTCTGCTGTGACTTTAGAACAGGAATTGGCAAACTGTGGCCCAAGGGCCAACTCTAGCTCACCACCCACTTTGTTTTTTATATTTTATGTTTTGGTTTTTTGAGACAGGTCTCACTTTGTAGTTCAGTCTAGCCTTGAACTCTCTATGTAGCCCAGGCTGGCCTCGAACTTGTGGCCTTCCTTCTATCTCAGCCTGCTGAGGGCTGGGATTACAGGCATGTGCCATGGGGCCCAGCTTTCACCACCTATTTTTGTTTTTCTTCCGGTATCCGGAATCGAACTCACGACCTTGTACTTGCCAGGCAGGCGCTGTGCCGCTGAGCTAAATCCCCAGCCCCACACGACCTATTTTTGTAAATAAAGTTTTATTGGAACACAGCCAGGCTCACTCATTTGTATATTGTCTCTGGCTGCCTCTGTGCTTCAAGAGCAGAACGGAGTAATTGTGACAGATGTTATAGCCCAGAAAGCCTAACATATTTGCAGTGTATCTATATAGAAAAGACATTGCAGCATTTAATAAGCATTTCCTGATTTCTCATCTTGTAGAAAGAAATGGCTGCTAGTCCTGCCAGCTCTGCTTTTCGTGCCAGGTTTTTGGGGACAAACCCAGGATGACAGGCACAGCTGCACAAAACTAAAACAAACAAATAAACAAAAACCACCCAAAAGAAATCTACCCTGCAAGGAAGCACTGAAGGCTCTCTTGGATTAACAGCAATGACTCTGGCAGTCAACATGCATATATCCATTACATTTGACAACTGTTTTAAAATGTACGTTCTCCAAGTAAAGAAGTCTATAAATGATTTTGCAAAAATTTTCACAAGCTGTTCTTTCTCCCTCAAAGGTCTTAATACTGTTTTGACAGGGAGATGTGACAGTTTTTGCTCAGTGTTCTAAGTCAGCATCCTACAGTAGCTCAGGATCTTTCTTTTCCCGTTTCTTAGAGCAAATACTTTTAAGAAGTATAAAGGTATCTGGGGAAATTTGCTTCAGTTATACACACATCATTCAAATTAAGCTGAAAGAGTAAGTGGTGGCAAAATAAACTGATCACTTATAAAATATTTTCAGTTCCAAAGTAAAAGATAGCTAATAAGAAATAGGGAGCTAGATCTTTTGCAAAAGAAAAAGGGACCAAGAAGTGGAGGGAGTGCGGGGGGGGGGAGGGGGCGGGGGGAGAGGAGGAGATGAAAAAGAATTAAGATGGGTTCTGTACATGGACCAACACCCTACGATGCACACAGTCCTGATGTACTGCAAGTATATATCAATAAAAATAAAAATTAAAAAAATCTGTTCTTGAAAATCAGACACTCGTCATCAAAACATGAACCAAAATGTTAATGTTAAAATATCTCACACTAGCCACCCCCCAACCAATCTTCTAAGATGTAACTAAATTTTTTTCCTACATATCCCTAAAATGTAACTAAATACATTCATAATGTATCTATGTGTGTGAATATACACACATAGTAAATGACGTGGGGATGGAAACTTCAAAAAAATATTTTTTAGCTCTAGCAGTCTATTTGAGCAACAACAAAAAAGACATTGATACAGTAAAGTCAATGATCAACACTCAAGTTTTGAACTTTCAAAGGTAGGAAGCAACCACATATTACAAATATTTGTAGATATGAACAAATCGTGGAAGTAGCTCGCGTCTGCCTTACCATTTTAAGGTAACTGTAAAAGGAAAAATACTTCAATTACAATATGTTTGTGGGTGCGTTTGGTTCTTTTATGTTTCACATTGTATATTTGTGCCGAAGGTGTACAACACTCACTTTGTCAGACTTAGAAACGAATCCAGCTTATGAACATTCTTCTGGAACGGAACTCGTTAGTAAGTCAAGGACTTCCTGTAATTCCAAATGTTAATAAATAATATAATTTAATTATAAAACAGACAATTATCTTTTCTGGGTATTGAAATTATGAATGGGAATGAAGCAATAGGTTTAAATTTCCAAACAAATTTGGCAAAATGATGTTTAGACCTGGGCCCACGTTTTCCAGTTTTTGTTTTTGCTTTTGTTTTTTGAAAAAGGACCTCACTATGTAGTTCAGGCTGACCTTGAGCTCACTATATAGCCCACACTGGCCTCTATTCTCCTGCCTCAGCCTCCCAACCTGGCTGTTAGTCATTTCACAAGAATATTATGGAGTACCTAAATACGTCAGGTTCTGATCCAGGAGCTGGGGTCATGGCAGTGAACGAGATCAGTAAAATCCCACCTTTACAGAGCTGACCTTCTGATGGGGGATACAGGATAACAGAGGCTTACGCTAGGCCTGGAAAAACAGGACCAGAATGTAACCCATAGATCTGAAACAAATTAGACCAATCAGACAAGAAGGACTCCTAGGAAGGCTTCTCGTCTTCTGTCTTTCAGCTGAATCTGCCCACAGGCAGTCACCAGCATGAGCTGAGAGTAGGCAGAAGAGGGCCAGGTTCTTACTTCCCAGGTCCCCCTCTGCCTGGTCACAGGTGGCAGTGGCTGTGTCCCTGCTGGAGGTCCCCTGGCATCATCACAGCCATGGTCATAGCCACGGTGCTCTCTCTGACTCTGATCATAAAGGTGCCCTTAGAAGGGCAGAAGCTCTATCCAGGTGTTCCTCCATTTCCGGGTAGTCCCCACAGTCCACCACTGCCTTTCCAGAATCTTCTCACTGCCCCCTCCTTGTCCGTCCATTCCACCCATGCAGGCTGCCAAGCTGGTCCTGCCTGCAGGCCAGAGACGGGACCTGGGCACCAGCTTCATGTCCAAGCTGCAGGAACTGGGAAAGGATGGGAGGAGAAGGGAATGTTCCAGACATGAGGCAGTGACTCACCTCCAAAAGGGACAAAGCTTGGGATGGCAACCAGAGTGACCCCTGACCCTCCCGCAGAGAAAGGAAGGCTCTAGGTGGTTGTGACTCACCTTTCTGTGTTCGGTGGAGGGCTGTGGGCAGACGAGCTGGAGTCCGAGCAACAGGAGGGAGCCCAGGACACTGGGGAGGAAAGACAGCAACAGGCAGGGCTGTGAGTGTGTCCCAGGCAGTGGCAGCCGGAGGGAGAGGACAGTTCGATCCGGGTGCCCAGACAGGACCAGGGCGGGAGTAAGGGGCCAGCCCAGGGTCCCAAGCAGGGGACAGAGCTGGGATCAGATCCCAGCTTCGAAGTGCAAATGGCCAATAAAGACATGAAAAAAATGTTCAACAACTCCGGCCTTTAGAAAAATGTGAATTAATGCTGAGATTCCATCTGACTCCAGGAAGGAAGGCCATCATCAGGGAAGCAAACAATAGTAAATACCTGCAAGGCTATGGGGATAAAGGAATCCTTCCACACAGTTGGTGGGAAAATATACTAGGGCAACCACTATGGAAATCAGTACAGAGATTTCCCCAACAATTAGAACTAGAAATTTAATTTAACCCAGCTATTCCTCATCAAGGGATATTCCCCAAAGAATAAAAGACATCAAATTACAGAGATACATGCATACCCACGTTTATAGCAACCCAACTCATAGTAGCTAAATCTTGGAAGCAGCCTATATGCCCATCAACAGACGAATGGATAAAGAAAATGTGGTATTTATACACAACGGAGTACTACTCTGCCATAAAGAAGGATGCACCTGAGACCATGATGCCAAGTAAAATAAATCAGACATACAAGCTTAAATATCATGTGGTTTCTCCTACACCAAAAACCCAAAAGATAAAGAGCAAAATAAAAGATAGATAAGAGGAAACAGAGACAGATCTTTTGCAAGAGGAAAGGTGGGGAGAGGAGAGGGAAGAGAATTAAGATGTACTGTGTCCATGTACCAACTCTCCGAGAAGAACGTAATCATTATGTACTGCGAACATGCACTGTACTAATAAAAATAAAAATTAAGAAAAAAAAAACCAGATAGAACATTTCTTTAAAAACCCAGCTTCACCATTTAGCAGCGGGGCTTTGGGTCTCAGTTCAACCTCTTTGAGCTTCATCTCCCTCCCTTGGGAAGTGAGGGGAACAGCAGAAGCCAGCTGGGAGGCTCGCCAGGCGACTGTGCACGGGCCATCCTTCAGAGATGCTGAGGTCGGTGCAAAAGTGAGGTCTCTGAGCCTGGCCAGGGCAAGTCTGCTCCTTCCTGCTGGGCGTGGAGCCTTCCTGCTGCCTGTCCTTAATCTTCTGGTGTCACATGTTCTCTCCATGGGTGGTATTAACCGCAATAAGCTCCACTGTCACCAGCCCTGATTAGGACTTGTCGTCAAATATAGGAGAGGTGTAGAAACAGGAGCCGGCTGGCTGAGAGACAGCGGAGCGCAGGAGAGCCCGAAGCTGTGGATTCTAGCACATCTAGGCTGGAATCCCAGCCGCATTGCCCCACGCCCCATCTCACAGACATTTCTGTAAGCCTAAGTCTTCCGGGGATGGCTAAACAGACAGAGGCGAAAACACCTGGCTCTGAAATAATCCAGAGAAGGCACCAGTGATGCCAACTAACTTCCATCTCCGAAGTCTCTTGACTGCGAATCACTGCGTCATTATTTCAATAAGCACCCCTGCAAGGAGGCACTAGATCTTTTGAACCTCTGTTAGGGCTTAATGAACCCTAACAGGGGTGGGGGAAGGTGTGCAGTTAAATATCACACCCCTTTCCCTCTCTTTTGTGGCCTCAGGACCAAACCCAGGGCTTTTGCACTGATCTAAATCTCTAATGCTTTTCAAATTTGTGTTTGGGAACAGGGTCTTCTCAAGTTGCTAAATTGGTCTAGGCTGCGTTCAAACGTGCAGTCTTCCTGCCTCAGCCGCCAGTGGCAGGATTCCAGGCGTGTGCCGCCACACTCAGCTGGAGGCTCCTGACAGGGGCACAGCATTGCGTCCTCTGTGCAAGAAAACTGCAGCGCGGGGCTGGCGATGAGGGAATTCTGCCCGATTCAGGGAGCTGAGGCTCATGGGGTCCTAGGAGGCTTCTGCTCATCTCAAGAATCCAAAATGCCACCTGACCCCCTCTACCTCTGTAAACGATCTAAGGCCCCAGCAGGACACCCAGAATAGACGCAGACAGCCTGCTTCGAGGCCATGCTGCGCCGCGATGACAAGCAGGGAAGGAAGAGCCCGTGACAAGGGTTCAGCGCATCTTTTCTGTTCCCTGAGAGCCACAGCTGAGCCCCAAAGCTGAGGCCTGGAGGCGTGGAGTCTGCACACGCTCCAAAGGAGGGCTGCACTGTCTGCTCAGGACACACGCAGGGGGCGCTCCGGGCCTGCAGGCACCTGCAGCCTGTCGGCACAAGGAGGCTGAGGGGCTGTGGAAGTTGCTAGCTGCGGCTTTTTTTCTTTTGGGGGGGGCAGTTGCTGAAGGGTAAGCCCAGGGCCTTAGCCCTGAACGACATCTCCAGCCCTTTATTTATTTATTTTTTTCCATTTTGAGACAGGGTCTCCCTAAGTCATTAAATTGCTCAGGATGGGCTTGAATGCTGGATCCTCCTGCTTCGGCCTCCCAGAGTGCAGGGATTACTGGTTGTGCTACCATGCCCAGCTAGGTGTGGAATTCCTGGAAAAGGGATGGAGGAATCCTAGTACAGCTGCCACCACCCTCCCCTGCCCCACTTCCTCACAACGAAAGGAAAGGCAGGAGCTGGCCCCGAGCCAAGCAAGGCCCATGGCATTGGGACAGAAAGAATGGTGCCTAACTCTCCCCTGAAAGTCCCTAAGGCCAGCAGCTGGCTGGAACATCTGGGAGGACAGAAAGAAGGGAGGCTGGTTGGGGCGGTGGTCTGGATTTCGAGAATAGAGAGGCAGGAGGTGCTGTTTCCCCGTGAACCTTGTGCATGGGCCCCCTGGAAAGACCCCCCAAAATTGTGAGGTGACCCCTAAGAAGTGGACAGGTGGCAGGTGCCTGTGGAGTGGAAGAGCTGGGCATGGGGTGATAAAGGCTCAGCCAGCTCCTGCACAACCCCCACAGGAAGCAAGGGGATGCTCTGCCGAGGACCAGCGAGAGTGCCTGAGGGAAGGGTCTGGGCCCCAGGCCTCCGCCGACAGAGGACGCCAGAGCCAGAGGAAGCCAGCCACTCGTGCCACTGGATTCTCTGTGCCCAATGCCCCCTCTCTGCTCCTGGAGGAGTTAATGTGTCGGGAGGAAAGGGCAAGGAGGGAAGCAGGGGTTCAAAGAATCCGGCTAAACCCCGCACCCCCACTCCTGGAGTCTGAGGCTTGACCAGGGCCAGTGTGGGGAAGGAAAGCTTGAAAACAGAGGAGGCTGAAACGACTTTATCTGGCTAGACATTCTCTTTAATGTTCATTCATTTATTCACATACAACATCCTTCCACACAGGACAGCCATTCATAAAAAGAGACCGTGAAGCCAGGTGGAGATGCATGCCTGTCATCCCAGCACTAGGAGGCTGAGGCAAGAAGACTGCTATGAGTTCAGGGTCAGCTTGGACTACATAGTGAGACCTTGTTTGAGAGAGAGAGAGAGACAGACAGACAGACAGACAGACACAGAGACACAGAGACACAGAGACACAGAGAGAGAATGAAAGCAGAGTGAAAAGAATGGAGATTTAATTTCTAACTTGCAGAAGATTTAGACCAGTGCAGTCCAATAGATTTTCCATGACTCTAGAAACATTCTCTGTCTCTACTGGTACATTCATAGACACAGAGAGCGCATGTTTACATGGTGATGCCATGGGCAGCCTAGGTTCATTCCAAAATCTATTTGCTAAAAGGAACCAAGGACCCCCAAACACACACTCTCTTTCTTTCAACTTGTTGTTTTTTTTTTTTTGTCTTTTTGAGACAGCATCTTTCTATGTACTTCAGGCTGGCCTTGAGCTCACTTTGTAGCCCAGGCTGGTCTCGCAACCATCCTCTTGCCTCAGCCTCCCGAGCGCTGGGATTACAGGCGTGCGCCACCACACCCGGCTTTTTCAACTTTTTAATACTTGATTTCTTTTTGCAGTACTGAGGATTGAACTCAGGGCCTTCAGCTGAGCTACATCCTCAACCCTTTTTATTCTTTTATTTGAAGCAGGGTCCCACTAAGTCACTCAGTTGCCCAGGCAGGGTTTAAACTTGCAATCCCTGCCTCCACGTCCCACAATGCTGGGTTTATAAGAGTGCACCACCACACCCAGCAGGAGTTTTTAATTCTTAAACTAAAACCATGCCTCCAACCTGCAGTGGTTGACAAAAGCCACGCAGGTTGCCATCCAGGGTCTCTAGATAGTGGTGAAGAAAAGACACTTATTTTTAATGGCATCCTTGCTAGATCCAGGGTCTCCTCTAAGCCAAGAACAAGGGGGAGTCCATGCTCCTAGGATGTGTGACCTTGGGCAAAGCACGTGCTTGGGCAAAACCCCCGGGCCTCCGGTTCCTCAGCTGTAAACCGGAAACACTGTAACCGCTCCTGCCTACCTGAAGAGAGCAAGCCCATGGTGAACCTGCGCCTGGAAATCGGAATCATTCGTAACACATCGCTGTTTACTCACTTAATAAGAAAACCAGATTGGTGCGGTTTCATTAAAAAAACAAACAGCAGCCCCATAAACATGCTACACCTCTGTGCCTCCAAGGTCTTGGCACACACCGAAGCCACATGTTTGTACAGCAATCGAGCAGCTTTGTAAAACCTCTGAGCCGGATTTCACCCTCGCAGTGGCAGGAGCGGGGGTGGGAGACCCCGGGCATGGGCCATCTCGGCTGTCGCACCAGCTCCCATATACCCTGCTAATTGGTAGCCTGTTGCGGTGGCCACACCTCCTCCAAGAAAGGAGAGTTTTGGGGTTCCAGGCTCAGAGAATCTACACTCCGGTCCCCTGTCTCCTCCTGCCGTCTCTGTCCCAGATCAGGCTATTATTTTTTCTCCTGTGCCATAGCTTTGCTTACATTTCTCTCCTGCTCCACTTATTAGGATGTAAGCCCCATGAGATCAGGGAGTTGAATCTGTCACTACCTTGATTGACTATAAATTGTGTTTTTGCCTATCTATGTGACACCCTTCTCTCC